CTGTTCTCTGATAAAGCACGCTCTTTCAGCCAATCAGAGCGCGCGTTATATGGAAACTTTATTATAAAAAGGAACAAAAAATGCATCGAGTGATAAGATAATTATTTAATAAAAATAACTCGTGCGGAGTTCATTATCCGGCAGAGGTTCACAGATAGAAATTAAACACGATTAAACGTTCGAGTAGAGCTAAAGATTTAAAGGTTATGCTCTTGATTTAAGATAACGAATATTTGGATTTTTCCATCTTGTTGTAATGTACTTGCTGTTTGAAGAAAGCAAGAAAACATGCTCAATCAGCGAAAAGAGTAGTATAGAAATCTAACCTTTGACCAGTGTTTGTTCTTTTTTTGTTTTTTGTTTTTTCACCGATGTAGGTGAGCAGATCATCAGCTGTTTTTCCTAATATTCACGTAGGTCCAGCATTTAAGTTCACAAGTTCATTAGGTCTGATTAAATGAACCTGATCTCGGAACTTTTCTGCAGACTGAGCGGATTGACTAATGGCACGGTTAACAGGTAGGAGCCAACATCCAGTCAAGCTGGTTTCGCTGTCTCTGGGGTGCATTTAGTACTCTTCGAATGGAATGCTACTATTTCCAAAACTTTGGTTTTAGATTGTTCTCTAGGCAACTCACCGGCTTTTAAAACAGCGGCATTGCTTTCACCCAACATGTAAAAAGCAGCTTGATGTATAATTTGTTTTAATTAAAGTTTGTGATGAAATTAGAATTGTTGAGATTTGTGGAATGTTCTAATTGTTGTTGTGCTTAGTCGGTTTTAGGGAAGAGTACTGATAGGTCCTTCTTTCCACATTGCTCTCTTACCTATTTATATCATAATTTCAATAGTTTTCGAAATTTTAGTTTAAAACGTTCGGTTTAAGTTAGCTTACGGGGTAATGTTACTACTAAATAGAATGTCTACAAAGTGAATGTTTGGACTTTCAGTGCGGAACGTTTACAGCGTGGTTTGGTGAACTAACTCTAAGAAGCTTTTACAACGATAGCGAATTGTTAAAAATTTATTCTCTCAGCGGGCGACTTACCTTGTGAGTTCGAGTCTCTTCTTCAGGACGTATGTATACTATGAAACGAAGTCTTACCCTGTTCCAGTCCAAAACAGCGCTGATTTACTAAAAATCTTCGATACTAAAATGCAGCCATTTTTATATTTTTTCCACTATGGCTTGAAGCAAGGTAATCGGACAGCACTAAAACATCAAAATGCTTTGGTAAATGGTTGATCCTGGTTGTAGGTAGGTAAACTCTATATACGAGCCACGTGGCCCATCAGGCCGGCGCTTATCTTCGATTTCTGTAGCATGAAACGACTAGGGATATTTCTACTCCCCCCTGGATGGGATGCTGGTCCAACGCAGGGTTACCCCTCAGCATTAAAATCGCCGGTATCCATTTATTCACCTGGGTGGAGAGAGGCACTGTGAGAGTGAAGTGTCTTGCCCAAGAACACAACACAATGTCCCCTGGCAGGGCTCGAACCCGGACCGCTCGATCCGGAGACGAGCAGATGCCACCGTCCTGGTTGTACGGGGGATTTTTGATCTTATCCTTCAATTTATGTTTTACATGCAACGTTCTCAACAAAACAAAGAACACCTAGATTGACCTCATAGAATCGTTTCGCGAATCGAATCTCTGGCAAAATGAATTTATGGGTAAAGTCATCATATCTAATTACAGCAATTACAATGGCTTTTTAATTATTTGAATGCACTCTGTCGCGTAATCGACAAGGTGCTAATCGATGAACAAGCTCTTGGACTTTGAATGCAGTGTCAGACCAAGAACAATTTCAGTTAGACGATGCACAATGTCCATTACACCTATTTGTCTCGCAGCTTGGATGGCTGGGTTTTGATCCTCGTACAAATTACTCTTATTTTGATGGTCCGCGCCTGGTGGGCGGGATAGAAAAAATACTCAATACCCGGTTAATTGCTTTGGTTGCTATGGTAATGTCACTAAAAAGGATTTGAGTGTTATTGTTGTTTGTACAGGTAATTGACTAAAAATGAAAAGATTTAAGAGCATTATTTCGGAATGGGTTAGACCAAAGCAGAGACGATTAATCTCTTCCGTCTTCAATGAAAGTTGATGCTATGACAACAGTATGTAAAGATTTTCACTAGGGAGGATCGCATGGCCTCAAAATTGAGTCCGCAAAGTACAGAACGCAACGAGAAATCTAGGATAGTACTGCCATGTATAGGTGAAGATGAACTTCTGAATCAGCCCGCCCCATCTTCGCGAGGTTCAGTACCAAAGACTCCTCAACAAAGGCTTCGCGTTAACTCTGAACCGTTTACCTCAAACGCGGTGAAGAACACTTCGGTGAAAAGTAAAGATGCGGTAGACGATGCGACAGGGAAAAGCAAGATGACCACTAATCATAGAAAGGTGACAAGACGTTCGTCTGTTCCAGTTCGAGTTTCCACAGAGAAAGATTGTTATCACGGCAATGCAAAGACGACAAAAGGTTCAAGAAATGCGAAGCGACGGGTCAAACTGAATACGCCATCGCCAGACGTGATTGATCTCAGTAACGAAGATGTTGTAAAAGAATTAATGATAAGATTGTACAAAACTCTTAGAGTACAAGACAATAGCACTTACGACAAGTTTCCTATGGATGACTGCACAGTAGAAGTAGAGGAAACGAGCAAACAGACTAAGCCTAACGCCGGGAGGAGAAAACCTGACAGCGAAATCAATTTATTTCGGCATCACACGACAAGATTTCCGCACGTTAGTAAAGCTACTTCAGGTTTAGAAGTGTTTTACTCAAAACCTGCGAGTTGGAAATCCGTGATATCAAGCCAGCAGCTCCAACCAAGAATACGGGCCAAACATTTCTTGGCCTTTCAAGAACGCTCTACCGAGAGGAATCAAGAGAAAATGGTACAAATGAATTATCGTCAGTTAACATGGCCGTTTAAAGAGAACTCTGCCCGTCCTGGCAGATCAACATCGGTTTTTCGTAAAAGAGGCCTTAGCGTGCCCTTCATAGTGACAAATGGCAGCGCTTTCGTTTCTTCTGGTATTTTTAAAGCGTCACGCAAGTCTGTCACGTTCGCTGAGTAATACACGTAATATACGTAGAGTTTCTGTTCGGTCGGAAAAAATACGTCTCTACAGAATGAAAACACTACACCTTTACGGAATGCCTCCCACCCTCCTTTTATGATTTGATTGACCCGGGCACTAATAGCCAATGAAAACTTTTCCGATACACCACCTTCATACAACACATCGTCGGAAGTGCAAAGTAGATATTTTTCCTCTAACATACTATAAAAACTGCATCCGTTCTTGAACTAAAATCGTAATGTTCATTATGAGATACTGGAAATTACGAAGGAACGACAAAAGAATTATGCGCCAGTCATTTGAAACCCTCGCAGCCCCACCCCCCATTGGGGATACCCGGGACAAAACATGGGTTTTCACTTCGTTTTCACTCGAGTTAGGTTCCCCTTTAGTCGGGGAATGCACCTTTTTTCCCGACTTCGCTATGCAATGCGGGGGCTGAGCGGGATTTCACTCGTGCTTCGCGACCTCTTTTAGAAGACTGGGTTCAAGTTACGTGTTCAAAGAAAACATGGAGGCTGAACAACTGACGAAGAAGGTATGATTTCAATCACTTAATATTATGCTTTGACTTGACTTCAGTGGTATGAAAAAAAAAAA